TGTGGAACCAGGAATTGAACTCAGATCGTTGCACTTGCCAGAGAAGCGCTTATTCCACTGACCCATCTCTCCAGCCCAGACTTTTTTTTTTTTAAAGGAATATCATAGAAATTTTATATTTTCCTAATTGTAGCATTTTTTTATTTTTTTTTGCAGAACCGGGAATTGAACTCAGGCCTTTGCGTTTGCCAGGCAAGCACTCATTCTACTGAGCCATCTCTCCCGCCCCTTCAATCTAGACTTTTAAGAGACTTCTGTGGAGGAATCCGCCCTCCTCAGGCCCAGGAAACCTTTATTATCTTCAAGCTTAGTGCAGGTCATGGGATTTCTAAATTCTTGCCTCCCAAAGCCTCAGTAATATTTGAGGATCTGTCCCAGAGGTTGGGACACTGTGGTACACTGGCCAAACCAGCCCCATGCCTGGATCTGTGTGGTCTGTGACCTACTAATTGTTTTTATATCTTTAAATGGTTGCCAGAAAACCCTCAAAAGACACATTGAGCCAGGCACAGTAGTACATGCTTCTAGTCCCAGCGCTTAGGAGTCTGAGGCAGGAGGATTGCTGCAAGTTCGGGACCAGCCTGGGCTACAAAGTGAGTTCAAAGCCACCCTAAACAGCATAGTGAAAAACTAAAAAAAAAGACATATTGAAATTGTACATAATTCAAATTTCAACATCCATAAATAAATCGTTTTATTATATACTATAATTTAGTTATTATTTGAATCTATACCCCAAAGGTTCACGTACTGCAATCCTGGCCTCTACTGTTGTTTTGAGAAGTGATAGAACCTTTTTTTTGGGGGGGGGCAGAACAGGGATTGAACTCAGACCCTTGTGCTTGCCAGGCAAGCATTTATTCTACCGAGCCATCTCCCTGGCCCCCAGAACTGAGCCAGGGGGCAGGCCCTCCCGAAAGAACCTTTTAAGAGGCGAGACTTAGCTCACTTTTAGGAGAGATTAATGTAGTTTTGATGGGACCCTGGTTGGGTGGTACAAAATGCAGCCTGACCTCCGAATCTCTGTCTTCCTGCCTCACCACACAATCTCTTCCATCTGTGTTCCCATCCTTGTGCCGTCACCATAAGGCCCTCACCAGAGGTCAACCAGAGGGGGCCCCCTAATTTTGGACTTTTATCCTTCAAAGCTGTGAGCTAAATACAAACCTCTTTATAAAATACTTAGCCTGAAGTATTTCATTATAGTAACAAGAAACAGACTTGTACGTCGACCCAGAACCGCCATCCTTCATTCACGTACCACCTGCACGCTATCGGGCTACAGCAGCACAGCGGAGGCGGGACAGGCCGCGTGGCCTACAAAGCCGCAGCATTTACTGTCTGGCTTCTGACCAAAAGTTTCCTAACCCCTAGTGTATCTTACTGCTCGGATGTAGATTTTACCCATGGCCTTATAGTGGCATTTAAAGATTCTCTCCCTAGACCGGCTGCACCCTTCTGAGGGACAGTCAACCCCACCTACAGGCTGAAAAGATAAATAAACCAGCCACAGACCATGCCAGAACAGAGACTCAAGCCAGGTTTAATGGTCATTGTCTAGTTTTCAGAGCCTGGGGCTCTGAGGTTTGCCAGCTTGGGTGCACACAAGTGGGAGGGAAAGGGTCCTGGACACAGGAGACACGGAGGGAAGAACACACACAAAACTAGAATTAGTTGGCTTTGCTCTCCCCAGCTGAGATGTGCCCTCCCCTGGCCCCTCTCAGGGGCTTAATAAATACAGGCAAAGAAGAAACAATCACAAATAACTACATGGACAGATTGTAGAGCCTTGTCATGTTCTGTCTCCAAGGACGCCCGCTTCCTGGGAGGTATGTCTAGCTTATGGGTGCAGGGGAAGGTGAGGGTGGAGGTGTCTTAGAACCACACCTGACAGTTTTCTACGCGGGTTCTACAGAGCTTGCTGAATCGCTTGCTTTTGGTGAGCATTCAACCCCCCAAGTAGAAAGCTACCTCTGGGTCTTATCAGCTGCAACCATAGGAAGAAGCTCAGCAGTACAACCTCCTCGGGGGCAGTCACGCACATCTTCCAGGTATCTCAAACTAGCGGGTACAGTAGGGAGATTTCGAGCTGGAATGTAAGACTCAGGAAGAAAATGGCCCTCTGAATCCCAAGCAGCTCAGCTAGAATGCCCCAGAAGGCTTGCTTCATCTCACTCGCTGTAAAAGAGTTCCAGAGTCCTGGGTAGTACCAAGAAGGGAAACTGCAGCCTGAAGAAACATTTTTCCATGTCTCCTGCTAAGTCTGAGGAGGGAGTCCTAGTGCCTATTGCTCTGGTAACAAAATCCTTGCGAGTCTTTGGGGGATGGCCAGAAAATGTTTTCCTCCCACTTCTGTCTTATTAGGGTAGTTATCATTAGTAAGGCTGTGTGGCCCTTGCTAGTTTCCTTCTGGGTCCGTCATTGCCCTAGTTCTTAGTATCATGTATATGCAGTTTTTAAGGAACATTTCTCAGGAGGCTGAAGAACTACCCAGAGCCTCATGACCCTTTCTCTCAAGATCTTCAACCCACGGTCTCTCTAGCTCCAGCTTTTGCAGAAAAGTGATTCAGAGTCATGGAGACGTGAAGGTTCAGAGTTCAGAAATTAAAGTACAATAGTCTGTATTTGCAATGCCTGGCATAGTCACTATCTCCCCTAGAGAAAGTACAGTACAGGAGCGCAGTACAGCTTCCTGCGCAAGGAAATTGTGTGCATGAAGTTGTGCACAAAGTGAGACTGTACTGGAAGTGGCGTTAGGGTGGACGTCAGCTCCACTGTCCTGCTGGGGGTCAAGGTGCTGGTGTGCATGCATACTTAAGAGCGTGCATACCTATGAGCATGCAACTACGCGAGGGAAATTGCTGCACCTCTCTCCTGATAAAACTAGGTTACTAGTAAAAGATGGACAGCAGCCTTGAGGTCCCAGGGACAGGTAAGGAGAAGATGTTGACTTCCAAGCCCCTTCCCCAACCTTAACAGGCAGCTTATCAGTCAGGCCCTCCTATCAAGCAGCCCTCACCCACAGGTAACCTCTTAGAACTAAAAGGAAGATCAGAAAACTAGAGGACCTGGAGAACTTTCAAGACACAGGAGACATACGAGAAGAGACACTAAGGAGGACCAACACCAAAGAACATTTCATCTTTGCCCTGCTCATGCCCCTGCCAAAACTCACAGCCACCACTCCCAGGCATGTACCATGGTTAAAGGGAGGCGTTAGAGGGAGTTGTCATCTTCATACCCAAACTACTCTGAAATTCTGGCTGGAAACTGACGTTCTTATGTTCCTCTGGCCTAACAACCACAGCTGCACAGACCTCAGGCTGAGGGATGGGGTGGCAGAACTTTCCATCTGAAAGTGTAGTGCCCTTGGGCCTCTGCTACAGGCTTGCCTTGAGCTTCACGGAGAGGAGATAACTCAATGCTGCACTCCAAACTGCCATTTGGAGACAGGGACCACCCGATTCCAATCTTTCAGATGACCAAATCCCATAATCCCATGCTTTGGCTTTGCAGCAAGAGCGAGGCCTCTGAGAAAGGAGCGACTATGAGGCCTTGTCAACAGAGAGGAGAGGCCTCCTGGGGTGCCTCATCTCCATGGCCAGTCTAACTGAAGAGGGGCCAGGCTTTCCTAAGGGCTACTCTTTTGCAGAGCAGCGTATTGAGGAAAACTCAGAATCCCACCTTGGCTGGAAAAGAAGATTGAAGAGATGACAAACACTGAAAATCAGGCAGGTTCTGCTGGCTGCCACATCCCAGATGATTTACCCTCTTCCTTGTGGTGAGAATGGGCCAATGTACTACACCTACGGCAGGTATCTGCCTTCAGCAACCCACGAAGGCCACCTGCCAGTCAAAACCATCATCTTTGTCCCCACCAGCCATAGCTGTGTGTCATCTGACACACAGATGCTGGGAATCAAATGTTAGCCAAGAGCTTCTCCACCCAGGGAATGAGCCTATCTGTGGCTCACCCCCATCCACAAGGTTTGTGCTAGTGGCTATTCTGTGGTGGGGACCTCTTGATTTCCGCTGTCACTGTGCCACGGGTCCCAGTACCAGGCCCAGAAGCCACATCCTACATGCTGCCATGACACACAACAGGCCAGGCTCCCACTGATATCCAGCTCCCCAGGGCCCATCAGGAAGGAGGCTTTAGTGGAAAGTCTCACAGCAATTTGGGGAACATTTCTGATCAAGGGCTCACTTTCCAAAGATTTTCCATCCCCAGCTGTGACTTCCTGACCCAAGAAGACACTGCAGCATTCTCAACATGGCTCCTGTGCAGACTCTCCCAGCACACACAACTTCACAGGTGTGGGTGGGCAGAGACAAAAAAAAAAAAAAAAAAAAGTTTTCATATGATTTTCCTTTAAGGAGCTAGGGATGACCTCAGAAATGTTTAGGAAGCCTGCTCTTCCCCTTCCCCCTTGCTCACTCTCATCTAGCTCAGACATGCTCCTCCTCTTCTACTACATTGAGAATTGCCAGGGCTTTGGGTAGGGGTGTAGCATTTGCCTGAGGATTAATATATCCATATTTGAATCTCGTGGCAGCCACACCCTCGGTGGGATCTTGCCTGATGCTGTGCCCATGACCAGTTCCCTGGAAGTCAGGAGGAACCCACTCCCTCGGGCAGCCAGCCCTCTCTTCCATCCCCTCATATCTTTCAGGGGTGCATGACCTCTCCTGGGGTAGACTCTCCCCACCAACCTATCCTGCTCACACCACAATGGGTGTATCAGAGAAGACCGAGCTGACAGATTCTGGATCTGACATCCTTCGTTGGCCCTTGCCTGTTGCCTCCGGCACTGGCAGGGTGTTACCTGGCTTGAGCTTGCCATTCTGACCCTGCCCAGGTCCAGCAGGTTCCAGGAAGGCCACCCGCCGGTCAAAACCATCATCTTTGTCCCCACCAGCCATAGGATCATGGTTGGGTGTGGTACTAAGCATGGAAGAGCTGAGGCTGTCACCTTGGTGGCTGGAAGGCTTCTCTACACCCCGGCACCAGCAGCGGCAAGGGGTGAGGTACAGGTATATGAGGACCAGGACCACACTGAGGATACAGCCCACTAGGGTGGTATAAGCCGTGTTGAGGGTGTCATGGTGTCCATGCAAGGTGAAGTTGTGCACTTTCAACTCCACCGACAGTGTCTCGTTGAAGGTCTCCCCCATAGCATAGCAGGTATACACACCCCCATCTTCAACCTGCACCTTCTTGAAATGAAGATTGCCGTCCTTGACCATCACTGTGCCGTTGGCTACCTTGTCTAGCACCCGTTCATTGCTTGGTGTCACCCACACCTTAGTCATCCCCTGCTGCTTGGTGTCACACTTGATAGTGAAGGTCTCACCCAGGTGAGCAACCCAGGCCCTCTCCTTATACTCGCTGCAGTTGAGGAAACTTAGATTAAAGACATTGTGCAGCTCCTTGGAATGCACACAGTACAGATCCTCCTGAAAGTCCACCACGGAGCTCAGCTGCCGGTACTGCCAGTGTGAAAAGAGCTGGTAAAGCTTGCAGTTGCATTCCAGGGGGTTGTTATGGAGGTACAGTCCATTCTTGATCCACGCCGGCAGATCCTGCAGCTCAGGCAGCGGCAAGTTCTTCAGCTTGTTGGAGGACAGATCCAAGAGCGTTAGTTTGGGTAGCTTGGCTCGTTCGCTGACCAGTTCCAGAGGGAAGCGGGAGATCTGGTTCTGGCTTAAGTAGAGTTTCTGGAGCTGGGCCATGTCCTCGAAGGCATAGCGGTCCACCACCATGATATGGTTATTGTAGAGCAGCAGCACCTCCAGGGCTTGCAGTTCACTGAACAGGAACTCATCCAGCGTTCGCAGCTGGTTGGAGGACAGGTCCAGGTAGTGCAGGTTGGGTACCGGGGAAAAGGCCTCAGAGGAGATGAAATTCAGATGGTTGTGGCTCAGCAGCAGGGAACGCAGGTGGGTCAGGCGCGTAGGGGTCCACTCAGCCCGCAGGCGGCTCAGGTTGTTGTGGCTGAGGTCCAGCAGCGCTGTGTAGCTGGGTAAGGAATGGGGCACATTGAGCAGTTGCTGTTTGGAGCAGCTGAGGATGTTGCTGGCGCACAGGCAGGCAGCAGGACAGCTAACCACCGGTCGGCCGGCCCTGGCCACCTCGAAGAGGAGCAGGAACAAGGACAGCAGCAGGAGCCAGAGGCCTCGCGGGTCACACTGGGGTTGCATAGTGTCACTACAGAGGGCGAGGAAGGCCACAAGGAAGATCTGAGAAGGAGTCACCCAGGCATGTTTTCCGGTGGGGTGCAGAAGAGTCACTTTCACTACAGGCTTGAGAGAAAGAAGATGGGTTTGTGGTCACCAGGGCCTCTAGAGGGAGGGATCGCCACTCCCACTTTCCGCTCCCCCGCTGCCCACCCCCATCCCACTGGTTAGAAGAGAAAGGGAGATATGCCAGGTAGTTCCCAGGCACTCTGCAGGCAGGCAACGGAACTCTAAATACTGGGGCAAGAGGAGGTGGCGAAAAGGCCTACTCGACTGGGGTCGCGGGTGTACGGTGGGGATATGCTCGAACTGTCCAGGACTGTTCGGGTCACCGGGATTGCAGGCCCGGGGGTTGGAGACTGGGTCAGCGGGGCCTTGGGGGAGGAGCGCAGGGAAGGTCAACAGGGCACCCGGCTGCGCAGGGCGCGTCCGGAAGGGGTTCACGGCCCCTGGGGTCTGTCGGGGCGGGCTCCCCCCAACCTCGGGTCACTGCACCTGCTCAGAGAGGACACGTCTCAGCCCATGGCCAGTCCCGGCGCTCCGTCGCGGCCTCCCCCGGCGGCGCCTCCCCGGCCGGCCTCTCAAGGCTCCCGTCTTACGCAGGGGCCCGCGCCCGGCAACGCAGCCTCCAGGGACTCGCGGGGCTCCGCGGCGCTCCCCTTCTCCGCCGCGCCCGCCGGAGCCCACGGAGCACAGCCTCCACTTTCAGGCCGGAGGCCCGGGCGTGAAGCGGGGCCGGGAGCCGGAGGCGCCGCGAGCCGAGCCGAGGGAGCAGCGTGGGGGTAGCAGGCACCGCGCGCGCGCCCGATGCCACCGCCGCGCCGCCAGGGCCTCGGGGCGCGTGCGCGGCGGGGGCGGGGCGCACGTGCGTGTGTTTGTGTCGGGGCCGTCGGGCGGGGGCGGCTGGTGTCCACCCGCCGGGTACTCTTTTGGTTGAGCCGGTCCCGGTTGCTAAACTGGTGACGGAAAGACTCGGGAGGGGACGCTAGCCCTAATCTCGTCCCCTACTTTGTCCATCCCCCTCCTCCTTCTCCAGCCCCCAATCCAGCCTTCTTCCCCGCAGGTCCCTTCCTTCCTCCTACTCAGACTGCTGGCAGGAAAAGTTTGTCTCGCAGGAGTGAATTTACTGCAGCTAAGTCCAGGGCTGGAGGCATCATATGTCTTAATTTTCCAAATTAAGCAGGTCTGGCTCAGCTCCCGCCTGTCAGTGTTGGCGGGAAGTTCATTAGTTACCTCTTGAGGCCCCTCCTCCCTTCTGGCTGGGGCAGAAATCGCAAAAATTTGGGGAAGGGTCCGTTTGGTTTCCTTTTCCCCTTCAGTCTTGGTGCTACTAGTCCGTAATTCTTGGGATACCTGAATGGCGCAGCTCCATAGCCTGCACACCAGCTGAGCGGGTGTGGGGCAGCCTCCTCTCTGGACTCTCGAGTCTGGGCCCATTGCAACCCGCGCAGCTTTTCCCATCCGCCGCCGAAATACCCAGCAGGGACTGTGTGCAAGCCAGGGACAGGTTTCACTGCAGGAAACTCCAAAACCTTTACATAAAGGAAGTAATTTATCCCTTCGGCCTGGCCACCTGCCCTCTTCCCCAGTTTCCCCTCACGGAGCAATTCCAGCCAAGCTTCTCCATTACTTAAGCCTCATGATGAAGTCAGCGGTGGGGCTGGGGGATCTTTTCTAGGGAGGCCCATGAAACACAAGCTGTGATATGTCGGTGGGGTGGGGTAACAGGGTATAGAAAGACCTGAGACCTTACAATTTAAAATTTTTAGCTATTTTTGAGATGATGGACCCTGACGGAGAAATTACCATTTTATTCTTTCTAGGCTTTTACAACGGCAAGACTAAGACTGTAATTGATGTCTCAATAGATTAGCATGCTAAGTTTTAAAAAGAAAGAATTTATATCTGTCACATATGTTTTACCATGAATTTAAGTGGTTGCATTATCTCTTGGAGGGTTATTACCATGTTACCCTTATGCGTATTGTGAAAGAAGTTTTATTTTCGTGCTCGAGTTGGGCACTGGTGAGAAGGCAAAGAAGGTGCTAGTTTTGGCGGGCAGGAAGGGAGGAATCTTGAAATCATAAAGGGTCAGTAATCTATTGCTGCATAACAGATTACCCCAAGGAATATTATAGAGGTTTACTACAACATTGATGAGGAGATAAGGGTTTGGGACAAACTGAATAACCAACTGGCTGGGATGGGTCAGAGTTATAAAAACCTTTAACTTGCAGGTTGCATGAGAAGTTTCCTAAAGAGAGAGGACATGTTGAGTTTACAGGACCCAAAATGACACCATGGTTCCTGTACAGGGAGCTCCTGTACGAGAGCCAATTAGAAAGCAATATTTTTTAACCCCTCATTTGAATCTTGCATTATTTGCAGGACCAATCAAAAGATGATATTTTCAATCATTTATCTCTAGGCACAGCCAATCCAAACAGAAGACACTGTTTTGGATCCTTTACTTCTGGTGAGAAAACAAACAAGTTTTTCTATAGGACAGTTTATACCTGGCATGAGGCCAAGTAAGTTCTTGATAGGATAAATGTTCCAAGGCCTTATACTTGCTTAAGGAGGAAGACAACCTGGCCGTTTGGGATACTAAAGACCCCTTTCCCCTGATCCTTGAGGCTGCTGTGAACATCTTTGCCAACTCACTCTTGCCCTGTAGATGTTCTTTTCTGCCCCCGCTGCCTTTTCTGCGTATCTTTTCCAGTTCTAGTTTGGAGCACCAAGGACCTGGGATGAAGCCCCACAAGATCCCTGCCATCTGACAACAACAGGATACACTCTTTTTCGCCATTTCTGCTGGGCAGAGATTTGGCCATGGCTTGGTAGACTGTCCTGACTTGAGAGGTTTCTCATGTAGCTGCAGGTGTGTATGTCGACGGGAGCTGTAGCCACTTGGGAGGATGCACTGGAGCGAGCGGATCAACTTGTGCAGAGGCTCGCTTGCCTGGGTTCCTTGTGTGGCTGGCAGGAAACGCTGGGGCCTCTCAGCAGGCTGCATGTGCCCTGCCAGCATGAGCACACGTCCCTCAGAGCAAGCGCTCCTAGAGAGAGCAAGACAGAAGTCACAATGATTTCTCTCTTTAAAGTTCTGTATGTCACCTGTACTCTAGGCAGACAAGTCCCAATTCAATATGGAAAAACGACCACAAGGGCAAGAATTCCAGAAACAGGATCATTGGGGGCCATCTCAGGGCTGCTTATTACAAATATGTCTCTGAAATCTCACTTTTTTAATATTAAAAACTTTCAAACATATAAAAAAGTAGAGAAGAGGATACAGCAAACTGCATTCCATACAGCCATCATCCATATTCCATAATTGTCAAGGAAACACTTTTGCTTCCTAATATTATATTTTGTACAGGTGTCCCTGGTGAACACATCCTCTCCCCACCTAGCCCTTGTCTGCATGTCATATACTTTTTTTTTTTTAAGTTTATTTATTTTATTTAGTGTGTGTGTGTGTGTGTGTGTGTGTGGGGCCAGCTCAGCCCACCAGGGGGCGGGGCTGGCTGGCATGTGGTGCTGGGGGATTGAACCGCAGTCCCTGTGCTTTGCTAAGCTTGTTCTAAGTAGGTGCTTTAGACCACTGAGCCATCTCACCAGCCCCTGTCATATACTTCTTTAAACCCCAATGTTTCTGGCTCTCTCCTCATCTCCCTTCCCTGTTTCTGCTGTGTTTAAGATTTCTTTTTTTTGCTTGTTTGTTTGTTCTGTTTTTTTTTTTTTTTAATGTATTTAGTACATGGTCTATAGGGTCTCACTACACAGATTGAACTTGTAGTGATCCTCCTGTTTGCAGCTTCCCAAGCACTGGCATCCCAGGTGCGGGCCACCATACCAAGTCATTCTCCCTCTCAGCGCACCCTGGGGTGGGGCCAGCATGGCATGCTGGAGAATAAACCCCAGTCCCTGTATCTGCCTAAGCAGGTGCTTTAATCCACTGAGCTATCTAGCCAGCCCCTTCTGCTGTGTTTAAAAGTAGAGGAGAGACATGCAAAGAAAGCAAAAGCCCTTTATACTGGAGACTGATTTTAAGAGTGTGACTATAATTTGGAGGGGCCACCACAGATAGGGTTCTTGTTTTCCTTTTTAGCTCATCAGGAGGGAAGTATGTCTTTAAAAATGTTAATATGCATGCAAGTCACCAGGGGTTCTTTTTAACACAGAGACTCTGGCAGGGCGTGGTAGTGTATACTTCTAATCTCAGCACTCAAGAGCCCAAGGCAGGGCTGGCCAGATAGCTCAGCAGACTAAAGCATCTGCTTAGGAAGAGAGCAGTAGCCAGAGTTTGATCCTTGGAGTGCTGTGCCAGCCCCGCCCCCGGAGGCAACGCCGAGACAGCGATTGAGACAGCAAGTGGTGGCGTGCGCCTGTAACCCCAGCGCTTGGGAGGCTGAAAACAGGAGAATCACTACGAGTCTGATCTGTGTATTGAGACCCTGAGAACCTTGTAGACCCTGTACCAAATACATAAAAAATAAAATTGAAAAAAAAAAGAGGCCAAGGCAAAAGGATCTCAAGTTTTTGTTTTGTTTTTTCGGAACCGGGGACTGAATTCAGGCCCTTGCGCTTGCCAAGGAAGCGCTTATTCCACTGAGCCATCTCCCTGGCCCCTAGAATCTCAAGTTTAAGGCCAGCCTGGACAACATAGCAAGATCCAGTCTCAACAATAAACCCCCAGAGATTGTGAATTGTTACAGCTGGGGTAGAATCTGATGTTCTGAATGTCTAACAAGTTAACAAGGCGATGCCACTGTGAATGATCTAGAGGCCATATGTTGTGTAGCGAGAGTCTAGAGTTGTGTTAGCGAAGTAGATAGCCACTACACGCAGGTGATCAAGTTAATTTAAATTTGAAAACATAAATCGCTTCCTCAGTTTCCCTAAGCATATTGCAGAAGCCCAGCGACCACATGGAACAACACATCGTCACCCAAAGCCCCACCAGATGGCACTGGTATAGAAAGAGTTGGCTCATGTAATAACCTTCCTACAGCTGCTTTTTAGGCCAGAACAACTATCTACTAATTCATGCCCAAAGAGGACCTGCACAGGATAAATAACAACAGGTTATTTATAGTCAGTATTTACTTCTGCTCACTTGAATGGATTAACCCAGTGTTCCCACGTACAATTGGAAAGGTTGTTTGGTTAGCTCAGTAATTGAGCAAAAGAGGTTGAAAATATCTGCCTGGTTATGAGACTAGATGAATTGTTTTTCTCCATATAAGTGTGTGTGTGTGTGTGTGTGTGTGTGTGTGTGTTTCCTTGCTGACTAGTCCTGGACTTCAGAGTCAGCAGAGAATGTTGGGGAAGGCATTCTATTGAGAAGCTCCTTTTGGCTCCTTTTTTAAGGCTACTTGAGCTAGGTGTAGTGGTGCACCCTTCCCTACAGTGCTTGGGAGACTAAGGCAGGAGGATCACTGAGAGTTTGAGACCAGCTTGGACTATAAAGTGAGCTCAAGGCCACCCTGAATTGCATAGTGCTTAATACCTGTCTTTTAGGACAATGTAGTGTAATACGCTGAGCACAACTTGCTGTTCCTTTTTCTGTGGTTCCACTTCTGTCATTAACACATCCTGTAGCACTTTTCCTGTGTTCTTTTGTCTGTTACATACGTGCTCATCCCATTAGGCTGTAAGCCTCTGGAGAGCAGGGTTTGCCATGGATCTGGCATTTAAAATGTGTGCTGAATTAATACCTCAATTAATGATATCATATTAGTACATCCATTATGTTAGGCTTCTCAGTGCCTGGCGTGAGGATAAGCAGGATAACAGAAACTT